AAATAATATAAACACTGATTATTAAATTATAAATTATTTACCCAAATAGATATTTTGAGTAATGCTCCCGTGAGCACTGGTATACAAATAACTATCTTTAAGACCTTGCCTTCAGTTCTTTGGTTATATTTCAAGAGGTTGAACTGCTGGATTAAATAATTTTTTTTTTTTTTTTTGAGAAATTGCCATGTTGTGACATCAGTCATATTATATCATGTTCTCATGAGGAGTGTGCATACCCTGCTGTCACTTTCTGTTTTGGTAGTAATCATCCTAATAGGGGTCTTGTGTTTTTGATTTGAATATCACTGGTGCTTTTAGTGATGTGCTACTTAGCCAGTTTGTAGAGCTTCTTTAGAGTAATATCTGTTCAAATTCTTTGCTCTTTGTTTTTGCTTGAGACAAGGTTTTTCTATATAGCTCTGGCTGTCCTGGAACTCGCTCTCTACATCAGGTTAGCTTCCAACTCAGATCTACTTTTCTCCTGATTGCTGGGATTAAAGGCATGTGCCATCAATGCTTGTGTCTTCGCCTAATTTTTAATCAGGTTCTTAAAAAAAATTGATGAATTTTAGCACTTCTTGATATACTTTGACTATTACTTCCTATCAGATATATCATTTTCAAATATTTGTCGTTTCCTTTTCTTTTAAATTAAAAATTTAATATACTGATTGAAACACACAAATGAGTCTTCAATGTGCTAAACACTCAGTACCAAATTATAATAAATGAAGCTTTTTTCATACATCTTTTAAGAATTTTTGGAATTGTAGTTCTTTATGGTCTTGGGTAAGTTTTAGCTTTTTTATTTAGCGTATTAATAGTTTTATAAGGACACCCAGGCAGCCCTCGCTGACCCAAAGTATAAACAGGTTGGCCTCAAAATTTTGATCCTACCTTTGTATCTAAATTGCTGAGATTACAGGTGTGTGCCACAAGTTTTTAAGATGTGCCATGTCCCAAAATTAGTTTGTCAAAAAATCACTTGAAAATATACATATTTATTTCTGGCTTCTCTTTGTGGGCCAGCACCAGATATCACACCATATTGACTGCTGTAGTCTTTAAGGGAGTCCTTCTGTGTTCTTTTTCAAGATTGTTTTATTTATTTTAGTCTTTAGGTTTTAATATACATTTCAGAACTTAACTTTCTAATACATGACTTTTGGGTGTCATGTTTTTATGGTTTTTATGTCTTCTTTATAATGACCCTTTAAATGCTTTGTTACAGATTGCTCGTTGTAAGCAGCTCATCTGTGATCCCAGCTATGTAAAAGATCGGGTTGAAAAAGTAGGCCAGGTAATCAGAGTGATCTGTATCCTTAGCCACCCTATCAAGAACACCAACGATGCTAACTCCTGCCAGATCATCATTCCACAGAACCAAGTCAACCGCAAGTCAGGTGAGTTTTGAAGGACAGATGAAGGTAGAATTTTGTGAGCTTTCTTAGTGTTTTCACCCAGATTCCTGCCTTTACTCTGTACTATAGTAGAGACTTTCCTGTGACATGGGAAGCAGACCTGGGAAGCCAGATGTGGTCTTCCTAGCAGCAGTGCACTGAAATGATCTCAGCCTTGTAAATCCACTGCCTGGAATGTTGGCTTCTTGTCTAGAGTGCATGGATGACTCTTGTGGGCTTCCAGCTTTGTTAAGTTTCTTCCCCCCACACCCCCTTCCCTTCTCCCTCTCGTTCTAGTCCCACTCACTCCGGCCCAAAGGTTTATTTATTATATATAAGTACACTGTAGCTGTCTTCAGACACCCCATAAGAGGACATCAGATCTCTTTACAGATGGTTGTGAGCCACCATGTGGTTGCTGGAATTTGAACTCATGACCTCCAGAATAGCCGTCAGTGCTCTTAACCGCTGAGCTGTCTCACCAACCCAGCTAGTATAATTTTTTTTTTTATATTTGATATGAACCATACTTGGAGCAGAGTTCATTGCCAGGTTTAGCAGTTCATAGTCATATACATCCTCAGTCTCTTAAGGTTTTAGTGAGCTTTTCTATGGGAAAACCACCCGAAGGAGGAAAGATTTTGGCTCATGGTTTTTTGTTTTTTTGAGACAGGGTTTTTCTCTGTGTAGCCCTGGCTGTCCTGGAACCCACTCTGTAGACCAGGCTGGTCTCAAACTCAAGAAATCTGCCTCTCAAGTGCTGGGATTAAAGGTGTGCGCCACCACCGCCAGGCTTGGCTCATGTTTTTAGTCTGGTCAGTTGACTCAGTTGTCACTGGTCATTGGTCTCAGTGGTCATGGACTCATGTCAATATGGCAACAACTGCTTACCTCAAGGAAACTACGAATGCAAAGACAAAAAAGGGTTTTGGAGCCGAGCAGTGGTGGCACATGCCTTTAATCCCAGCACTTGGGAGGCAGAGGCAGGTGGATTTCTGAGTTCGAGGCCAGCCTGGTCTACAGAGTGAGTTTCAGGACAGCCAGGGCTACACAGAAAAACCTTGTCTTGAAAAACCTAAAAAAAAAAAAAAGGATTTTGGGCACAAGATTATACCCTTCAAAGATTTGATAACCACAGTTATTTCTTCCCGCTTGAGTAGTTTTTAACCGCTTTGGGGGTTGAATAGCCCTTTTACAGGGGTCACATATCAGATAATCTACATATTAGATATTTACATTAGAATTCAGAACAGTGGCAGTATTATCATTATGAAGTAGCAACAAAAATAATTCTATGGTTGGAGTTGCCACAATATGAGGAACAACAGTATTAAAGGATCACAGCATTAGGAAGGTTGGGAGCCACTGTGCTAGACCCTATTCTCTAACAGCACACTCAGGTCTTAACTCATCAATAGGCCAGTGATATAAACACTTTGATAATCCAGTTACCGTTCAAGAGCACCACTAACAGAAGACCAATCCTTCAGAGTATGAGTCTGTTTCGAGTGATTTTACATCCAAACCATACTGTAGTCAAGAGAAATTTCATTAATATTTGTAATTTACCAAGATTTAGTTGAGATGACATTGCCCATTTTAAGTAATTTTAATTTATAATGAAGAAAAAGCATGTGATACTTGAGTGCCTTTATGTTCAGAGTTTACAAGTGTCAGGTGTGTTATTATTTGCTTCTAGATATCTATGTTTGCATGATCTCCTTTGCACATAATGTGGCAGCACAGGGCAAGTATATTGCCATTGTAAGTACAACTGTGGAGACAAAGGAACCAGAGAAAGAAATCAGACCAGCTTTGGAGCTCTTGGAACCAATTGAACAGAAGTGAGTATTGTGCTCAGTCATGTCAACTAAAATCAAAACTAAGATGTTGGTATCTGTTGCATGGTCAGGTAATTCTGAGAACAAGACAGTAATTGGCTGCTGGGAATAATTAGAATGCTTCTGACTTAGAAAATAAGGCAAAGCAGTGATACTGATTTGTTTTTCCCCATATAGATTTGTCAGCATCAGTGACCTCTTTGTACCTAAAGATTTGGGAACAGATAGTCAGGTGAGTGTGATGATCTGAAAAAGATGTTACTAGTCTTTATTGGGGAACATCCATCCCTAGTAGTCTGAGACTGTTTCTTACTTCCAGATCTTTATTTCCCGTGCTTATGATGCCACCACCCACTTTGAGACAACCTGTGATGACATTAAGGATATCTATAAGAGGATGACAGGATCTGAGTTTGACTTTGAAGAAATGAAGCGCAAGAAGAATGACATTTATGGAGAAGACTAACAGCAGTACATATTATATAATTAGGACAAACTTAAAATTTGGCAAATAATGTATATTGTATGAAATCAATATTGTAAGCCCTGCTTTTATGACCGAAATGGAGATTGAAGAGTGCTATACCAGTGAATACTCCTTCACTTTTCTAATATCATGTATTAACTTGTTTTCATGGAATGGCTAGTCAGAATTGGTTGGTTCTGTTCAGTTTAACCAGACTGCATTTTTCTTCTAGTGAAGGAGCTGCTAAACAAATATTGATATCGATACAGAGAACTTGATACAGTACTTGTATCTTTTAATCAGTGTAGCCTTTGCGATTGTGTGATGTTGCCCAATTGATCCATACAATTTGTGCCATCCTGATATTGGGAGTCTAAATTGAACATCCTTTGGTTTCTGAAAACGTTCAAAGTTTTCTCTATTTTGTTATGTCAAGTATTACAGCAGGGCCCAAATAGGAAAGCCACATGTTTTGTTTATGTGGGTATAAACTTTTAACCAAACTTCAGACTTAGGGAGTTGGAGGAAGCCAGTATGTGGTATTTCAACCTATAATTGCTGAGAAAGGGAAAAGAACCTTAAGGTAAAGCAGGTAAAAATATAGAAGCACCTTTTATCCCAGGTATGGCTTCTTCAATGGACCAAGCTGCAATGCAGTATTGATTTGACAGAGCCTCAATTTCAATGATGTCTGTTCCAAAATGGCTCCAAATGATTTCTGTACTGCAAAATAAAGCCAAATTCTGGAAACCACTCTTTTGGTATTGTGTGTCTATGCCCTGTGTATGAAGACTACAGAATAATTGCTGTGCACAGAGATTTTGGATAGGTACCATTTCCTGGCTTCAGTTTATTAGTTGCATTTCATTAGCTACGATGCTCATTGGTAATATTAGTAGCTGTGTTCCCCCCTCCCTTCTATCACCAAATACTGTACAAGAAGCAACCTGTGTTAGTTTCATGGTTTGCGTGTAGTCCCCCACAGCGGGGAAGGTATAGTAGTCATAAGAGGTTAACATGCTCACATAGGTATGGGTCAGAAAGCAAAGATCACTAAGATTGCCATTATCCTGGTCGTTTCCTTCTTTGTGACCTTAACTCTGCTGTCCATATTGAGAGCAAGTTAATGCTTTCCTTTCTGCACCATTCATAGCTTTAGGAAGCAAAGACCAAGAGTTACTAAAGGGCAATAAGGTATAACCAAAGGGCTATATAGTAGGATTCTTCCTTAAAGGCATCCTGGTGATGGCCTAAACCTTGCTAAGACATTGCACACAGACTACAAATGACTGTATTTTCAGTGTCTTTATTAAAAAAAAAGCAAAAACATAAAACAACAAAAAAACCCCAAACTAGGTATAAAGCCTTTGTTCCAAATAGTATACAAATGGTTTTTTTGTTTGTATTTTAAAGATTTAAGAAATTTCTAATATCATAAATAAAGGATTTCTTCCTCAATTGATTTTTTGTAGTGCAGCATTAAAAAACCCAAGTGTAAAAGTGTAGAAATTTGTCATTATGAAAAAAACGTTTTTGTCTACGTAGTGTTCCTTATGTAACAGCAAACAACCATTACAGATTGATACTTTCTACAATGTGGTAAAACCTCTGAAACATGCACATGTTCATAAGCCTCTGACCACACGCAAAAACAGCTATTTGTCAAAATAGACTTGGCTTTAGCCACATAAATGTGAGAGTCTCAAGCTTTAATATTTAGCTCAATTAATAGTTTTGAGTGCAATGTGTTTTGGTTGAAAATTTACAATATTCAACATTATAACCCAAAGCTAATGGCAACTATCGTCTATGATGAAATGAGACATCACAGCAAAGTATGAGAAACAAAACATTGATTATTCAAATGAGAGTTGCTTGTATGTATTTGGAGTTTTTTAGACACAGGAAAACATGAATTTCTTGTTGGCATACTCCATGTCTAGTCTCAACTCCAAAATCACCTGTAGGAACACAAAATTGGTAAGAAAATGACCAAGGAATACAACTGGGACAACTCTACCTAGTGGGAAAGGCCTATGCATCATACATTATACTGTTGACCATGTCAACCCAGACTGGTGGCAAGTGACATCACTGGAAAATAAAGCTGGCTGATTAATCTTATCTGATAATCACAGAAGTGACAGGAATTCTACTCATAGGCAAAAGTGAAATTTTACATTTTTTTTTTTTTTTGGTTTTTCGAGACAGGGTTTCTCTGTGTAGTCCTGGCTGTCCTGGAACTCACTCTGTAGACCAGGCTGGCCTTGAACTCAGAAATCCACCTGCCTCTGCCTCTGCCTCTGCCTCTGCCTCCCAAGTGCTGGGATTAAAGGCGTGCGTGGCACTGCCCAGCTGAAATTTTACAATTCAAAGAGCAGTTTTTAACCGCATTCTTTCCCTCAGTGGCAGTGTCTGTTGCCAATAACTCCAGTTTTCAAAGGGAGTTTTACAAAAAGTTCTTACCAATAGCTACTCCTAAATGGAGCTGCTATCTTTTGTATATTTTCAGTGAAGTAGTTTACATCTGTAACAAGGATTCCATTATTTTCAAAGATTTCTGTGGAGATTGTGGGCTTGTCTGTAAAGGAAGGAAAAAAAAGAACCTATGACAAAAGGCCAGGATTTTTCATTTTGTTCAAGGTAGCAGAATTCATTAAAGTGAGAAGAGAAATAAAGATTTCAGGGCAGCAGCACGGGTGGAAGGGACATAAGCAACAACTGAACCAGCTTCAGAAAACCAGGCAGTCCAGCTAAGACTCAAGATGTGATAAGAACGTGCATGTGTAGGATCTGATATGATAATGTTAATTAGAAGAATGTTAGAGAAACTTTTGAATGTTAGAGAAACACTTTGGCAAGCATCCTCTGGACTAACAAAGCATTTGTCAAACATGCTACCCTACTAGCTATGGGTGCCATTCATATGTATCTAAGGCATTCAATAACTAATTAGGAAGTATACTTCTACAGCTGTCCTGGGTTAGCATTATCTAAGGAATGAAAGTTAGAATTTAGCTTATATTTACCTGTTAGGAAGACAGCAAACCTGGCACTGATATGTTGAATTTGCAGGTTTAACAAACATTTCAAAATTTCAGCTTTTGTTGATGACGGAGAATCACAGTTGTGATAATGAAGTAATTCGATGATACTTACACTCTGATATGACTTTAGAATTAAATTCTTTTTATGTGCAATTGAATCTACCCTGGAATATACAAAGAAATGTTAATAGCTTTTCTTGCTTAAAAAAATTCATTTTAAATTGTATATCTGAGGTCACGTGAGAAGGTGCATGCGTGAATGCAGGTGCTCTGAGAGTCCAGAAAAGGGTGTCTGCTTCCCTGGATCTAGATTTAGAAGCAGTTTGGGCCATCCAATGAGTTACATGCTGGGAACTGAATTTGGGTCATCTCTCTTAACTACAGAACCATCTCTGTCTTTCATTTTAAGTAGTTGTGTTAAAACACTTGGTCAGTAAGCCTGTGCTTTTTTCTTGATGTTCTTGTATTCACTGTCCTGACTAGCTGCCTCTAAACAATATACAATAATGACACCTTTGAAAATACAGATTGTAACCTTGGGCCTCATTCCAAGGCAGAGTCAAGACCCATGTAGCTACTGCCACTTCAACTGTATGCTGGCAACTTGAAAGTTCTCAGGCAGTCACACAAACACAACCACTTTCTCACTAGTCTTAGTGGACTTTTCCACTAATTATAAGTAAACCAACCAATCTTTCCTAGGAGTTGGGGAAAGAATGTCTTGCTCCACAGTTCAGGTTGGCCTTCAGTTTGAGATTTCCCTTTGCTTTGCCCATAGTGCTGAGATCACAAAGTGTGCTGCCCATGCCCGATAGCAACAATCAAAATTAATTTTCTTTAAAAAAAAAAAATTGTCTTGATGCCAGGGATATGTGGTGGAGTCAGCAAAGAACCTGCTGGGTAAGCATGAGTACGGGAGTGTAGATCCCCAGCATCCACAGAAAATGCCGGGTGTCATAGCACACATGTGTAACTCCAATCCTGTGGGGTGAAGACAGGCTCCCTGGCCAAGCAACCAGCCTAGTCCAATAGATGAGTTCCATGGTCAATGTGACCTCTTAAAATGTAAGTTGGACAATTACAGAAGACACCTGATGTAGACCAAGCTCCATGCACATGAGTTGGCAACCTACACAAACATACTACACACATACAATAAATCACTGCTTTAGATTAAGCTGACTTGCCTCCTGTTTAAATCTGTTAAACCCTGACAACTCAATACATGAGTAAGTATCCACAAAAAGCACTAGCACCAAGATCATTGTTCACCATATCTCTGCAGCTGATGGCAGCAAAGCCTGACTTAACTGTGGGTGTTTTCAATCCTGACTCTAAATACTTTTTACTGAATACTCTACTATAAAAACCAAATCCCCAAGCTAATCAGCAGGCACAGACTTTAGGAACATGACACCCATGCTAACACTACTTCATGGCTGTGGTGCTTGAGTTACACTAAGCACATCAAACATTGGAACCAAGGTATTCTGCACTTTCTCCATACACACTTACCTGACCTCTTCCTTGAGCTTTTTATTTTCTCTGTAGTGAAGCAGCCACTTCCATCTGCCGTTTTCATTTAATTTTTCTAGGATTTTGAGAATTTTCTTCAGTTGAACTATAGAGTAAGTTCAGCAAGAGATGTGTCTTAGTTTTTGTTGCAAGGTCCATTACCACTTATGAACTACCAGACCCTTGTCTCCACCTTTCATGGCTGGACAACACCAGTGACTACAAACTAGTTCTATCTGGTCATGCTATAATGGCAAAGATCATTTTATAGCATGATGAATGCATGTAGCCACTAGGGAACAGAGACTGTCACCACTTCTTCAGACTCATTGCAGCACAGAACAGCAGTCATCAGGAAGACAAATGACCACAATGCTAGCATGTATGTGAGGAAGAGAACTTTCAGTGTGGGAGGATGTGGAATCTGAACGGATAATTTAATACTTGGTCTAAATTTCTCTGCAAACTCTAGAAGTATAGTTCCCAGATGAACCAGCTATAATAAGCCTAGGTTATATATGCAAGGCCTTGGTATCTGGCTTGTGCATACATGCTTATTGGGCTCTGTTCACAATAGCTACGAACTAGAATTGACATAAATGTCCATCGATTGAATTACTACATTAAAAGCATGTAGTGCAGCAACTGGCACAAATTAAGCCCTCAATATATAGTAAATTATTATTTTTTGATGAAACAGTGTTTGTGTCACTGGGAGATGAGAAACTGACCTAACGAATTCAAAGTTAAAGACTAACCTAATGTTAAACTTTCTAGTATGACATCATCTGATACCACAAAGCCGCCAGATCGAAATAGTTCTTGGTAGGTGTCATTCAGAATGTCTTCAGGGCTGTCCACTCCAGCAAAGATGACACTGGGAAAATGCTTTAGCTTCAGTAGAGAAGGAATCTGTTATGACATAAAAGGACTTCCATGAGGAAAGGCACATGCAGGCAACAATTAACATTCCCATGGATTTCAAGGACCATGAACAGCTTACCAAGACCACAAAGAGTAGTTCTGACCTTCTCGTGAGTGGCCATTAATTCATCAAAATTAATTAAAAAGAGAATGCTAGAAAGAGTTCATGAGAGAACATGACTGAAGTTCAGAGGACCTATAAATAGCTAGGTTATACAAACTCATTCTGTTTCCAGTTCGCCTGTGGTGCCAAAACCACCAGGCTCATGTCACTGCCTACTGACAATAGAAATCTGCACCTATTCAGTGTCCACAAATTGCTTCTTGGGACAAGCAATTATTTGTCAATTAGTAAGTAAATATTACATAAGTCCTTTTAAAGCATATTTTGCTTACAGTCAGACATCAAGTACATCTTTTCATAATTCCCCCTCAGTTAATACACTTTATCAGCCTGCCCTACAGAACCTGGGTGATTCTGTAGTATACCACACTGTACTCTCACAGAGTATCTTCCCACTAAAAAAAATCAATGTCAGCTATACCCCTACATAGAATAGCAACAATGACCCATGATATTACAGAACAATGTCAGTGTCTAGAACACGTCTCCTTATTGTGAGACTACAAACTTACTTGATGCAAATGTGAAATCATGTCTTCATTTTTAATGATAACTAATAGTGTCTCATTTTCTCTGTGAAAAGCTTGACAGAAATCCAGAAGTTCAATTTCTGTATGGCCTCCTTTCTTTAGAATGCTCTGAAAGATTTACAAACAGCTGTTACTTAAAAACGATACTTGTACAGAACTTTTTGTTTCTGTAGACAAAAAGTCTCTCTGTATAACCTTGGCTTTTCTGGAATGCACTATGTAGATCAGGCTGGCCTCAAATTCAGAGATCTAGCTGTTTCTGCCTCCCAAGTGCTGGGATTAAAGGTATGTGCCACCATGCCCAGGTACAACTATTTTTATATTTTACTAAAATCAAGCCACCAGTTGGGCATGGTGATGCATATATTCTTGGCACTTGGTAGACTAAGAAAGAATTTTGAGTTCTAGGCCAGCCTCAGCTACTTAGTAACACATCTCAATAGGAAGCGAACAAAAATATTTAACAATATGTTAAAAAAAAAGCAAATCCTATTTCTAAGGCAACACAAGTAGCTACTGGTCTTATTACTAAATAAACACACATAATTATGAACTGGATTTCAGTTTTTAGTTAAAAAATTATGTTTTTGTGTATATATGTAAATGAGTGCGCACACACACATGCCATGGACAACATGTAGAGGTCAGGTGGTAACTTTCAGGATTTGGTTCACTCCTACCATGTGGGTCCTGGGGCTCAAACTCAGGTTGTCAGGTATAGTGTCCAGTCCCTTTTCTTACTGAGCAATCTCAACAGCCTAAGCATGAAGTTTATTTTAATGATAAAGCAGTTTATAAAATATCAAAGGCTGCTTTAAAGAAAAAAGATCCAAAATAATACACATACATGAAGTTTCACATTCAAGAGAGAGAGACTGGACAGGTTTGCTAGGTGTTTACATAATGCTGTTAATTTTTAATACATAGCTAGAAATTTAGCAACATACCAGGCATTCCTTTATTACTAATGAGAACCAACTTGAAGCATCAATTGTTCCTTGGCTGTTCATATCTGAATAAAAGAGTGATGCACTTAAGAGTACACATTTATAAGGAACTACATGTTCTGACAGGTTAGCACTTTACCTCACAGAGCGGCTCCTTGTGAAGCCTAATTGGGAAGGCTGAATGTGCAATATGAAAGAACCTCATCCCCACCCTCCCTTATGCCTCTGCAGGAAGGATTATGGCTTGCCACTGGACACCGCAACTGTACTTCACATGCAGTCAGAACGTTTATTGTCTTTGTGATGTATTACTCTGTCTGTCTTGGATCTTCAAACAGGTGAACATTTGACTGTTTTATTATCACTCAAAAGGAAAAGTATAATTTTTGATCAAGTTCTTTAAGTCTACTGACATACTTAAGATTGATCTTTCACTGTTTGCAGATCCTCATCTTACAAACAGTCCTGTATCCCACCACTAAAAAATAGTCTACAACTTGCCAGAATTAGTCAGGATATGTTTCCAAGCTTATAGAAAGAACTCTGTGCTGTGAGATAGGCTCACCCTGTAGCCAGGCTTCAAATCCTCGGTGATTCTCCCATCTCAGCCATCCAACTGCTAGGATTTATAGGAGTCGGCCACCACACTCAACACATACTGTGGTCTTGAATGCATATTATTCTCAAGTTAATTTAAGTACACATTTCCTCACTTAAAAGTAGTACCTCTGTACAAGCATGTTACTCTTTATTATAAACAGTGGTGTGGTGAAATACTATCAGTATTTTCAAACCATCCAACTGCCCATGGACAGTTATGAGTTTACTGGGTGGGTGCTGGGAACCAACTCCAGGTCCTCTGCAAGAACAGCCAAGTATTATTAACTGCTGGGCCATCTGTACGATCCCTGCTAACATCTTTTAAAAAGTATTAGTGAGTCCCTTCCTAGCATGGCTCTTTCATGTGTCTCCAAATGCATCTTTTGACAGTAAACTATGTCCAGTGGTGCTGACCAGCCTCTGTCTTCAGGCTATGCAAGCTGGGTTCTTACCTTTTGTTCTCTGCTGCCCCATATTTTTCTCTGCATCACTAAGCCCTTTATAGGATATATCTGAATTAGTATAAATATTACTTTTCATAAAATGTTACCATAGTAGACATGCTTTCGTTTCAGAAGTTATTACTTACTTTCCTCAAGTGTATCATCAAAGAAAAAATCATTTGGTATGTGAATTGTGTATAAATGAGTGTGGGTGCCAAAGTTGATACTCAGGTGTCTTTATTGATCGCCACCATTTTGATATAGGGTTTTCCACCAAACCTAGAGCTAATCTATTTAACTAGAATGGCTGGCCAGCAAGCCCCAGGAATTCACAAGTGTTTGGATTACAGGCTATGTACACAGCTTTTTGTATGAGCACTGTGATCAGGCCTTCATATGCTTGTATGGCCCACATTTTACTACTGACTGAGCCATCATCATAGTCCTGGAATATAATTTTTCTTTTAAAAATTTGAATGGTAAGGTAAGAATGTGGTCATTGAAAACTAAAATAACCATGGTCAAAGTCTGACATGGGGAGGCCAGCATTTGTTTTGATTCACCATTAGCTTTTCACTTTTGCCCTTTTGGAATTTCTGTTCCATTTGAGTTATTAACAATACCTGCCATGTAGTACACAGATAAGAACAGAGATTAAAAACTAAACATCACATCCCATACCATTTCCTTTTAAGCCCAAACTTCTAAGTTTATTACTTCTAAAATAAACTAAAATGAGAAGATAGTATAGAGTTAAGCTAGTACTTTACCTTTGTCCTTAAAAAGAATGACTTATCTTCTGTTTCAACGAGGTAGAACCAGAAAGGGCTCTTACAAGCCTCTCTCACAACTCCTTTTAGTTTGACATGCAGAGTGGCACACAAGTCTGTGATCACATCTTTGTAAGATACCGACTGTTTTGGCTGGTATGTCTCCTGGGACACAGCTTCTGCAGAAGCTACATTTAATTCTTTATCTTGGGAAACAACTTGGTTGCTATTCATCATTATCTTATTAAATTCAGCGTATTCATTTAGAATAAGTGAAATATCATTTCTAGATTCTTTTAAAGTACTGTTGTATTTCAGTTTATTGAGGTGGAATGGAACAGTCTGAATTCTTTCACAATTTTTAAGATTTCTACTTTGACTACATTTTTCCTTCCAAAAAGAGGAAGAGCTGTCTAGACCGCTGGGTGAGTAGCCTCTTCTGTGATGACTCTGCTGTCTGGTGCCTGAGTGCACAACTGTCACCAGAATGGGGCTTCTGCTCTTGGGTGGAAGATGTAGACCTGAGGCCTCAGATGTTTGTGTGGAGGGGGAAGTTCCAATCGAGATTTGGATGAGTGATTCCTTAGGTAAGATGTTGTTGGAAGGGGAAGATTGCTGAGAATCTTCCTTCTTTATTATTTGTTTTAGCTTATGGTCAAAACGCAAGTACTCTAGGTCTAATGTATTCTGAGTAAGGTCATCTGTCACATGCCAGGTGCTAGTCCAGGAGCTGAGAAGGTTGCAGTTTGCACTCCTATGCCTCTTCAGGCTATGCAACCTTCTTGTAGTATCTTTGAACTCTTTTGTTATAGTAAAGTTAGCATAAGTCTTGGGGATACCATGGGAATCTGGGATCTGGATGTAGTGTGGCATACACTTACTATTTGGTGAGATTGGACGTAGTTCCGTTTCCTGGTTTCCGGGTGGGATGTGTGTCTCGAGTGCTGAAATTTTGCTAGAGCAGGCCGAGGTGTCATCACTGTTGTTTAAACTTGTAAAAGAGTCACAGCTATCTTTTACAGCATCTGTTGGGGTTGCATGATTACCTCTCAAATTCTCCACATCAAACTTGCAGTTTTTACAATCAAGAGAATCCTGAACACAGTCTCCAGAACATGGTCCACAGCACATGGAAGCATTTACATTTATCTCTGTATCCCTGCTTAGTGTTTCAGCATCTGCCTTGGTTTCATGTCCCATGCTAGGGCTTTCACTGAAAGTATGTTCTTTGTAGACACCACAAACAGAGTCAACAAATTCTGGGACAAAGGAAGCAGAAGGCTCTTCACTGATACTTTCACTGAAGTCTACTGTATTTTGGCAAGAATGAGCATTTTGGGAGAAAACATCATCATTCAAGATCTCTACTTCACATATCTCGTCCTGCAGCACACGAATTGTTTTTTGTTCATCTTTTGTAGACATGGAGTTAGACTGAAGGCCAGTAGCATTGAGATCCAATCTTTCATCATGTAATTCAGTTCCAATATTCTTAAGTAAGCTGGCCATTCTGACTACTGGTATTTCCTGTGTTTGAAACCCTGGCTCTACACTTACTGGTTTTGTATAATAGGTGCACTGAGCACTGTCAGAGGAAGAAACAAACTTTGAGACTTCTGGATGAAAGTATGTCTGAACATCAGTATTGTCAATGGAGGCAGAGTTCACTGCCCCAGCCTGCATATTACTATCAGCTTCTGTTTTTACATCGCTGTCACAGACATTTTTCTTAATGGTTTCAGAACTAGTCTGTTTTAATGACATATTCACTATTCCACTTGTGGTTATAGAAACCAATGTTTCAGTCAAAGATTTATTTTCAATAACTTTTCTAGGACAACATGAGGGTACACTAGACTCAAAAACAAGGTGTTTTATGTCCGTGTTTCTGTTCTCCATACAATCTGCCTCCAACGAATTTCCTGATTTTACATGTTTCTCAAGAGGCTTAAAACTGGCAGGCGAGATAGGCTTATTTAACTCTGTATCATAGCACTGTACCTTTTCTAAGAAAGATAAATTCTCATTATGCTCACTCAGGACACTGACGTCAGTTACTTTACCAGGCACAGTAACTCTGCCTTCTACTTCTGCATCAGCTGAGAGCTGTACTTGTACTTGAGCTAACTTATCTTGTCCTTTTGGACTCTTAGGACCAACAAGACTTTCTTTTTCTGGTATATCTCCTGACTTAATCTCGGAGAATTTGTTAGTTTTCTCAGACTGTGAACCACAGAGTTTTAAACAACATGGCGATGATTGTCTGTCTCCAGTCTGTACTATGGGATCAGGACTTGCAGCTGGTGTCACTTCTATTAGAGGGCCAAAGGGAAAGTCTGAGGTGACATTAACTTTCTCTGCAACCTCAGGGGAACAATTTTTTAATAGTTCTCTGGATTCCACAGGATACAGTGACATACAGGTAGCTGTATTTGTTTCTTTTTTTATGAGTCTCTCCTGTTCTGGTTCAACCATTTCTTCAGATCTACTCTGTTGTCCTTCATTTGCTACTTGGGCCCCCTGCAATTGTTCAACTTCACCAGCTGCTATCTCCTCACTGGGGCTTGTAGGTGGTGATACTGTTAGAGTTAGATCAATACCAGCATCTTCCCCTGACAACTCCATGCTAACCTCTTCCCTATTCAGTGAGAGATCAGTTTGTTTAGGAAATATTGAACTAAATGTTTGCAAAATCTTTTCTTGGTTTAGACTACTGTTGTCACTATTGATTATTTCTGAAGAGCCACCTGCTACATCACTTATCGCTGGAATACAGTTAGGGGACTGTTGTTCCCTCAAGGTAACAGAGGTTGATGAGACTACTTTAACTTGCGATGGTTCTAGAATCTCATCTAAAGATATGCTCAAGCCATTCTGAGTCTTTAAAGAGGCATCTAGTGAGTACTTTGTTTTATCACTGGGTAACGAATAACTAGAACTTTTAACTAATGAGAGTGCCTCCATTATCAATCCTTCATCAGCTGATGATGTCAGAGGAGGAATCTCTTTCTGTAATAGACACAGGCTCTCAGGAGGTGTTTCTTTTTTTATTGAAGAGGCAGAAAGGCACTTACTATCTTTATACTCTGTCATGGCAAGAGAAGGAATGTCTCTAAGACTTTGTGTTTGTACCTTTTCTGATGCAGACACAGGATACTGAATACTCAAGGCAGGGGAAACTTGTTTAATCAGCTCGGTATTAAAGTCTGTAGGTTTGTTGTCAGTTGTATTTACTTCTGTATGTATTGGTACATTGGCATTTTTTTCAAAAGCAAGAGTAACTGGCTCAAGATTAACCATCATACACTCCACATTATCATCCCTCCTTTCCATGGAGGGCTGACTTTTGTTATTTATGAGGCTGCTATGCTGGATAACATCCTGTACAGCACCTGTTTTTATCGGCAGTGATGGGTGACAAGTATCAACTTTGTTCTCAAGGTTGTTGAACACAGACTTCTGACACATCGACTCACTGCCGGCCCCATCGTAAGCTGTGGTTAAGGTGGCTTGTGTGACAGAGTCATTATAAGAAACCATCTTTGTGCTCTGACAGGTTTTATCTTCACTGGGAATACAAGTTCCATTATTTTGGCCACTTATAACACCAGAAAGCACAACATTAGAAGTCTCTAATTTATCTGATAATTCTTGTTTGACTTTACCTTCAGTTACCTGAAATGACAAAAAATTTTTTTAAAAAAAATAGTTCAACAGATTAAGAAAAATTACATATATGAAAAATGCCAAGGGTTTTGTTTTTTGAGTCTTAATATCTAAGAAATCACCAAATCTGTCCCATTAGGAATGTGTTGTTTCATTTTTTTGTGGTACAAAGTTTGAACTTAGGACCTTGTATACATTAAGTGAGCACTCTACCACTTAGCTAGCTTGTGGGGGTAGTGGCATATCCCTGTAATTCCAGCATTCAGAGGGCGGAATCAGTTCAAGGTACCTGGCTATAAAGTAAAAAAACAAAGAAACAAGCAAGCATTTAAAAACAAAAGAAAAACAAATAAACAAACATCAGAGACCAGAATTCTATACTTTATTAAACCAGCCAACTAGATCTTAAATGTGCTAGGTGTAGTGGTGAGTACCTGTAACACTTGGCAGGCAGGCAGGCAGGCAGGCAGGCAGGCAGGCAGGCAGGCAGGCAGGCAGGGATCTCTGTGAGCTGGAGGCCAGCCAGGTCGGCACAGACCTTCTTAAAATATAAACATGCATACACACATCCTACTCCCAAATTTAAATGTCCCATCTATCATTTAATAAATGGAGCATTAAGCCAAGCAGTGGTGGTGCACATCTTTAATCCCAGCACTTGGGAGGCAGAGGCAGGTGGATTTCTGAGTTCGAGGCCAGCCTGGTCTACAGAGTGAGTCCAGGACAGCCAGGGCTATACAGAGAAACCCTGTCTCAAAAACAAACAAATAAACAACAATAACAACAACAACAAAAACCCAAAAAATAAAAACAAAAAAAAAAAAAACCCAAAACAAACATTTGCTGTTAGTCAAAAGATAACATTTAAAGCCAAAACTAATGTTTTCTTCTTAAACAGTAATTTCCAACTACACTATACAACTTGACATCTGGAACTTTCTCACAAGATAGTAAATAATTACTATCCCATGTACTCTAAATAACTGATCCTTTAAGTAAGGGTATGGGTCCCTCTAAAATTTTTAAGTATCTTTGCTTAAAGCTGGAGAAAATTATTTTTCACTTTACTGCTTCTTATTCTACAAAACAATGGAAAATTCATCAATATGACTTCATATGATAAAAGGATTGAGTTAAACAGTATTAAATGGAACTTAGATTAAGTATCAGCAGGACATCTCAGAACAACTCTGATAAGAAAATTGTTTTGAGCCGGGCGGTGGTGGCGCACGCCTTTAATCCCAGCACTTGGGAGGCAGAGGCAGGCGGATTTCTGAGTTTGAGAGTTCGAGGCTAGCCTGGTCTACAGAGTGAGTTCCAGGACAGCCAGGGCTACTTTGAGAAACCCTTTCTCGAAAAACCAAAAAAAAAAAAAAAAAAACCCCAAAAAAAAAAAAAAAAAGAAAATTGTTTTGATAAGTCTCCAAATGATCTTGTCTAGACCTTGAAAAACAAGAACCAACACAATTTACTACAGGTGTCAATATTTGGAGCACCATGCTCACAGACTGCCATGTCTAGCAGCATATGGTGGAAGTGAAGATTTGTTTTAAATATCATAAAAGCATTTCTGTCTCAACCAAAGAGATAGCAACTTGAGTAATCAGGAACTATGATGTCAGTTTTAAAAGGACAATTTTGGAAAAAAAAAAAAAAGTCTTGGTGACAAGAAACCTGCGAACTTTCTTGCAGTTCTCCCAATGACACCATGCCTGCAAGTATCCAACCAAAATTCTGAAATATACCATCCCTCTTAAAGAAATGCTGTGACAATCGATATATTATTACATATATATCTAAATATATATTTAACAAATATATATTTAACTACAGGTACAATGGAATATTCCTAAAATAACATCTATTTAAAAATTGGCCAAGTAGACACCTAACCACAAAAAACATGCTATTGGCTTCTAGTGCCTTTTATCTTAAAATATTCTTTACACCACTATGTGTCTACTTATGGAACACGGGAAGGCTATAGTTCAGTCACATGCTTTTCATATGTAGGCATAGTACCCAAGAAAGAGCACTACCCCACCTCACCCTCAAAATTCTTAGAAGCTGGAGCAACTATCATCTGAAAATCTGAAACCCAGAATGCTCTGATATGAAAGCCCTCTAAGTGCTGACATATTTAAGTTTTGTATATTAAACTATCCCAAGTTTGGAGTTTCAGACAGTGATGGTCAATGAGTAAAGTCTGAGAAGTATTCTACAACCTGAACTTTTCTCAATATTTAACCAGAATATACTAAAGATTATTAAAAACTATTCATTTTAATTATTTTATTTTTCTCACCAACTGGTAAACTTGCTAGTAAACAGAATGTTTTTCATAAGCATTTTGAGTATTTTACTTAATATTTAAACTTTAAAAAATATGTATTTTGGACATATTCAGCCCTTAGCCACCCCCCAACCCCTTTTTTGGTTTTTCTCAGACAGGGTTTCTCTGTGTAGCCTTGGCTGTCTGGAACTCACTCTGTTGACCAGGGTGGCCTCGAACTCAGAAATCAGCCTGCCTCTGCCTCCCAAGTGCTGGGATTAAAGGCATGCGCCACACTGCCTGGCTCCCTTCCCCCTTTCAAGATAAGATCACATATAGCTGAGGCAGGCTTTGAACTCCTAATCCTACTGTCTTTACATAGTGCCGGGATTACAGGCTTGCCCCATGCCTGGTTTACACTTCATTTAAAAAAAAAAAATAAAATTATTATTATTCCTTTTGTTAAGGTTCATGTATGGAGGTCAGAAGATAACTTCTAAAGAGTTGGTGTGCTTTCCACAGAGGGTTCCAGGATCAAAGTTAGGTTGTGGGACTTAGATGGCAAGTATTTTTACCTGGTGAGCAATCTTACTTAGCCTTCTTTATATTCTATTTTATGTTAAAAAAAAAATCACTCCTAATATTAAGACTGGTAATTGTCTCATTAAATTATTTCTGTCAAATCAGGGAGTGGTGGCACATGCTTTTATCCTAGCACTTGGAAAAGAGGGGTAGGGGTAGGGGCAGGTAGATCTCTGAGTTTAGGGCCAGCCTGTTCTACAGAGCGAGTTCCTGGATAGCCAGGTCTACACAGAGAAACCATGTCTCAGAAAAATCAACAACAAAAACAATTTCTGTCTTAACAAAAAGGCACATCATAAGAAACTAGTATAAACCTATGTGATAACTGAAATCTGCGTAAGTATTTTGTTATTCTAACATATAGTTGCTCTTAATCAAATTGTATTTATATCCTTGAAAACAGACAAAATTTCTGAACCTCATTTTCAGGAAAAAAAAAAAAAGTTACTTATGTAGAAAATATTCATCGATGTGCATATAACTACATCCAAAGATACTGACACAGAAACAAACAGATTGTTTGGATCTGAATATTGGTTTTGCAATTTATAATGTGACTTTAGACAATTTCTTTAGTCCCAGTCTCTTCATTACAGTTTAGTAAGTAAGCTAACAGCTCTTTTATTTATTCATTCACTTATTTATCTATTTAATTTGTGTGTGTGTGTGTGTGCGCGTGCTCACGCACCAAGAGTATGGTGGAAGAGGGTGCTCTTTTTTTTTTTTTGGTTTTTCGAGACAGGGTTTCTCTGTGTAGCACTGGCTGTCCTGGAACTCACTCTGTAGACCAGGCTGGCCTCGAACTCAGAAATCCGCCTGTCTCTGCCTCCCAAGTGCTGGGATTAAAGGCATGCGCCACCATCGCCCCGCTGAAGAGGGTGCTCTTATCCACTGAATCATCTCTCCAGCCCAAGCTAACAGTTTGCACTTTACTTGCTTTGTTTCAGAGTTAACTGAGTTTCTGTGAGTGACTATTTGGTATACAGTGCTACAGATATGTTAACTTTGCTAACAATGATGGCCACTTGAAGATACTCACCTTCCTAGGTTCATTCTTGACCGTTCAAGTCTCTCACTGACTGCATATATGGCAACAATCTACCCAATGTGAGAACAAGCTCTGTAGGTGCCGTTCGAGCTCTGTGAAGTTATTCTAGACTAAACCTAGGCCATGAGCTTTAGAAAATTTTTGTTACCACTTCCTTATTTATGATAGATAAAATGTGGATTATTTGGCCTGGCTGATGGTGAAGGAGTAAAACAAAGTGTTCTCTCCAAAGCACTACTAATATTACTAACATTTAATACTTAATATCTAGGCAAACCATAAGTTATCTGTGTGTGTTCCTATGGTGCATGTGTGTGTGGGTCAAGGGTCAATCTTGGTTGCTGTTCTTCAGGTTTTACTCACCTTGTATTTTCTCTTCCTGTCTTGGAGCTCACTGAATATGCTAGGGTCAGTAAGCCCCATTGATTAATCTATCTCTATCCTCTGCCTATTCCCCTAGTGCTGGGGTTATAGACGCACACAGTACCATGCCTGGGACACAGGCGCTACAAATTTGAACTCAGGTCCATATATTTGCAAAACAAGCCATTTATCCACTAAACTAGTCCCCTAGTTAGTCACATCTCTTAAAACAAGTTCAGAGTTAAGTACTGTGCCCCAAATTATAATACTAGTAAGTGACAAGCTGGGTTCCTACATATCTGATTCCTCTCTCTTAAACCTAGCTGTGGATGATGAAAGGAACACTTTATAAAGACTAAGTTTTGGGAATTAAAATACTTTACTTAGCTGAAAGACCCATTTTTTTTCCTGAAATAATACCTTGTTTTGAATACATTTACATATAAAATGGAAAATCATCAAACAAGATCAATACCGGCAGTTAAAATAGCATCTCACCTCAGTATTACAAGAATAGATGAAATTCTGGTTTCCTGAAGTATCCAGGTGACACTCCCCTGTAAATACTTCTTTCTGGTCATTCTGTACACAGAGTTCCAAGTCTCTGGTAGTTGGTGGATTAATGAAAGGAAGCACGCAGTTAGGTCCCGGAAAGGTCATACTGGTGGCATGACCAATGTGTGTTTCCTTAGTCTCCAACAGAGGGTCTATAGACCCTCCAACAGAGGGTCTTTCCACATTGGAAAACTCCTCAATTTCACTGTGATCCAAAGATTCTAAAGACCTATTTATGCATACATATTTTGCTGGGTTTTTGTGTTCTACTACCTTTCGAGGTGACCTGATGGCTTTGTTCTTTTTGCTGTAGAACAGAGCTACCCATATATGAAGTAAAAGCTTCACGTCTTCCATATTTTCAGGCAAATCAGTATTCCAGGGTCTGAGATGTTAAAGAAAATGCAAAAAATAATGCTACTTTTAGTTCATTATCATAAACAAGCTCCTCTATCAATAATTTCTGTGCTCATTTTTGTTTTAAAAATTACAAATATGAAACAATAAGAGTTAATTTAACGAATAATTATGAAGTATAACCCATTCACTTTAAAGAAAAGAAAACCAAGGACCACGAACATTAAGTAACTTGTTTCAAATCACAAAACTTATATGAAGAACAGTTGAGTCTCTTGATTCTTGGTCTAGCATTTGTCTTTCCTACCACCCAAACGCACTCTGGAGACAGCCTGTCTATTGTGGTACTAATGGTTCTTGCAACTCTCCAGATTCTTATCACTTTAGTTTGGCTGAGAATGGCTAGTTCACTTAGTTTTCATTTTTGTCTCTTACAATAGTTAGAAAAGTATGATGATTAGAATATTCTCTGGACAATGTAGTAAAAACTATATTATTTTCAGATTTTAGTTCTAAATAGTGTTGTGAAACTATAAGGAAAGATACAAAACATTTCTGGCCTTAGGGAAAAGACAGCAGACAGCTGAAGTGGGCTGAACTGGAGTTAAGAAAACTGCAGAGTTATACAGGAATCAGACTAATTAGGAAGTCAACTACCTGGTGAACACATGCAAGGAAAGAAATCTGGTAATGTGGAATGTCATTTACTTAATATAAAATGATTTACAAATGCTGAATGACATTCCGTAGTGTTAATTCTTCTTGTTAACAATAATGGCTACCATTTATTATGGCAGGCAAGTCACTGCAAAAGCCTGGTAATATATTAATAACCCTCAAGACACAGCTTCCATTAAACCCATACTCAGAAACCACTATCCAGACTAATCTACCACTGACATCTTGAAGCTTGTGATATAAACCCCAGAATGCACCAGAATCTGCAGCTCAGTGAGATTTCTAAATGAGCTGTATATACAATGGACTGGGAATCACTGCCTAGAAGCACATACTTATTCCAGGTTACAAGAGGCAATAATTAAGAAGGCCATTTTAATTAATTTAATCTCTAGAAACCTGTAGTGCTAATAAATCCATTACTGTTGCCGTGATTCATCTTCTTTGTTTTGTTTTTTATGACAGGGTTTCCCTTGTCGCCCTGGCTGTTCTGGAACTACTCTGTAGATGAGGCTGTCCTTGAAATCAAAAAGATCCACTTGCCTCTACTTCCAAGGTGATGGGATTAACGATGTGTGCTACCACCACCTTCTTAGGGAAAACTTATAGAATCATTCATTCATTTAAAATAATTCACTCCTATTTATTAACAAACATTGTAAATGAAAATCCATTTACAAGATTAAATTTATTTAAAAGTTCTCCATGTGATCATCAACAATGGCTAAATCTGTCATTGTCAACTCTCAGTAAACACACACTTGACACTGTATAATTTATACAATTATACTATTATACTTTATACTATTTTATCCTTCCCCAAAGTCAGCCATTAGTCTTACATCTTATCACAGCTGTCAACAAAAACCTGTATCCCTTGTAGTACTTACCCATGTAATGCTCTCACAACAGTTTTCTCCAATGGGTTGCTGGTATATTTGCTATCTAAGCTGAATACATACTCTCCTTCACATTTGAAAGTAATCTTAAAGGAGCCGTCACAACTAAGAACAGTATGAGAACAAAAAAACTCTTTAAGGCTCGAAGATATAAACAGACTTTTGCGCTTAGTCAATGAATCTTCAGAATGCTTTTGTAGAGGGGAGGTGTTCTGTAGATGCCGAAATGGCATGACCTTTCCTATAGGTGTTCCAGCTTCAGGGCCTTTTGTCCCATTCTTTACAAAAGCAGGGCTTGGTAGCTTTCTCTGATGCAGATGTTTCTTTGACTGCTCAGCAAGGAGCAAGGCATAGGAATGTTCCACAACAACAGAGTTTTGACTTGCATCTGAGAATTCTCGAGCTTCTTCATGGGACGCTGGCTGGGCAACAGCAAGGGGCTGAGCACAAGGTACCGAGTTTTCTTCTTGACTATGAGTTAAGTCTGACTGTGAACTAATCTCATTAGAGTATGGTTTAGGTAGTAGTACAGCTTTTTGACTTTTAACTCCCTTATGATATTCATGGTCAGAGGCACCATGCAATGAATTTTCTTTAGTGAGTAAAACATTGTTTTGTGGCAATTCAGAGAAGCAAGGAAGGTTCCTGAGCTTACAAGATGGTATAGAAGCAGCAGCAGAACTTAATGCCAGATCAGCTAACATATTTAGGGCTTGGGAGTCACAGCCAGTAATTGAGTGTTCAGGAGGATCTTTAGGAATTACCGCAATACTTTCTTGTTGAGATGTATTTGGGTTAAGTTCATCTTTTGGACCATCTGATGAAATTTCTGATTGAAGATGTAAAGCAATTGCTTTTTCCGCTTCAGAATAAAACACAAAAGGACAGATGTAATGTTCTTCTTAGAATAACCTGCATATTCCTATATCTTAAGTGAAAATTAACAGTCAATTCAACAGATTTATGAAAAGATAGAAAAACAAAACACCAGAGTCTGTCTACAGTGTGCTTACAAATAGTTAAAATCTGATGTATTATATAGTTTGCTAGCACAATTTCTCAGAAATCATTTCCCAAAAACCAACTACGTTCAAAATAGAGATGTTTAGCTTTATAATGATAGGTAAAAAACATTAGAAGCACTCTCCCAATAGTTTTCTTTCTGTAATAAGATGTTTGTCCCTATCAAAAAAATTACATTCTCCAATGGTTTGCAAGGCATCCTCTATACACTAATCTTTCTTTTCTTTTCTTTCTTTCTTTCTTTCTTTTTTTTTTTTGTTTTTTGTTTTTCAAGACAGGGTTTCTCTGTCTCTGCCTCTGCCTCCCAAGTGCTGGGATTAAAGGCGTGTGCCACCACTGCTCAGCCACTAACCTTTCTTAAATGCTGTTATTATAAAAAACAAAGTTCACAACTATACTATATAGGAATTCCGTTTGCAGACAAATGGATGTAGAGAAAAGCCAAATGAAGTCTTTATCATCAATCATAGGAGGTGTGAAATGAATCAACAACCTGCCTATATAAGGGCAGTTTATACATGTAATTAATTATTGCATTTAAGGAGTGAAAAACCTCTGGCCTATCATGTAGCATTTAGAATGAAAAGTGTTGGAGGAAAAACTAATCAAACACAGCTTAGTTGTTTAAAATAAAAAATCTAAGAGACTTAGGGCAGAAAAGAGTCTAAAGCAGAGAATTTTCTTGATGGCTCTCTAGATACACTGGAAAACACTGAACTCGGGCAGTGGTGGCGCATGTCTTTAATCTCAGCACTTGGGAGGCAGAGGCAGAGGCAGGCAGATTTCTGAGTTCAAGGCCAGCCTGGTCTACAGAGTGAGTTCCAGGACAGCCAGGACTACACAGAGAAACCCTGTCTCGAAAAAAAAAAAAAAGGAAACACTGAATTTATTTTATGACCTAATGTACTTAACTGACACTGATTTTGGTCTACTTCTGCTAACATCATAGTTTCCATATACTCATCCATTTCTTATACAGAATAAAACCTGTAAGCTATGGCTAGTGTGATAATGACTACTGATGATAAGAAAAGTAGTATAAGAATGTATTATTTAAAATAATTATTGACTTGTTACAGATTCTCAATCAATTAAAAATATAACAACCGGGGTGAGAAAGATGGTTAAAGGTTAAGAAGAGATTATCTGCTCTTCCTAAAGGACATGGGTTCAAATCTAAGCACCTATATGGAACTCCAGTACCAGGAGATCTGATGCCCTTTTCTGTCCTCACTGAGTATCAGGCATGCATGTAATACACACACATGTATGTAGACAAAACACTTAAACTCATAAAAAATTTAAGAACATAATGATAATCTGTCTTTGACAAAGATAATAATACTGCCAAGTGATAACTCAGGAAGCAAAAAACTGTATCATAAACTTTTAAAAGGACAGAAAAGGAATAGTCAAAGGAAAAAAAAAAACCTGACTTCAAGATTTATTTTATTCAAAAGTTAAAATACTATAGATCAGCAATTTTCAAATTTGACCCAGCCCAGTCATATTTCACCAGGCTTTTATTTTTTGTTTGTTTGGGGTTTTTGAGCAGTTTTTTTTCTTTTTCCATGTAGCCCTGGTTGTCCTAGAACTTGTTCTGTAGATCAGGCTGGCCTTGAACTCACAGAGTCTATTCGCCTCTGCTTCCAGAATGTTGGGAATAAAGGCATGAGCCATCATGCCAGGCTCCCCTGGCTTCCCAAACATTAATAAAGAAAACAGATTAGAACACGTGATAAAAAAATGGAGGAATAGGGCTGGAGAGATGGCTCAGTGATTAAGAGCACTGGCTGCTCTTCCAGAGGTCCTGAGTTCAATTCCCAGCAACCACATGGTGGCTCACAACCATCTGTAATGGGATCCGATGCCCTCTTCTGGTGTGTCTGAAGAGAGCAATAGTGTACTCACATACAATAAATAAATCTTTTTTTAAAAAAATGGAGGAATAACATTGTCTAAAAGGCAGTAAGTGTATATTCTGTTTATAAACTCAGTTATCAAATGATTAGAAGAGAATGAATTAAATTCTATGTTATTATGAACATAAGAATTAAGCTGGGCAGTGGTGGCGCATGCCTTTAATCCCAGCACTTGGGAGGCAAAGGCAGGCAGACTTCTGAGTTCGAGGCCAGCCTGGTCTACAGAGTGCGTTCTAGGACAGCCAGGACTACACAGAGAAACAGTCTCGGAAAAAACCTTAACTTAACAAAACAAAACAAAACAACAACAACAAAACAAAACAAAAAAGAATTAGAGATTTGTGAGGATCAAAGCATAAGAAAATGTCTATGAAGGAAGAACTCTGCTGGACAAAACCAGGAAGAACTGCAGTGAAAATACAGAGACTAACCAAACAACGAGAAGCCACAGGAGAAGACTGCATCATAAATTCCCTTCAGAAACAAGGAGAGAAATCAAATTTGCATTCCTATGCACTTTAGAAGGACAGGATAAACATTTGGCTTTGTTGTTTTAACTTTTGGCTCAGGATAAGCATTTTCAATCAAGAAACATAGAAGAATTTAGACATACTAAAGCTCATCTATAATCCTGCCACTCCAAGAGAAGTCTTGTGCTGAATTTCATCTGTAAGATAGAAAAAAATGGCCAGTAGTGGTGGCATATGCCTTTAATCCCAGCACTCAGAAGGCAGAGGCAGAAAGATCTCTGAGTTCAAGATCAGCTGGTTTATAGAGCAAGTTCCAGGATAGCCAGGGCTCCATTGAAAAACTCAAAACCCCCCATCCCCAAAATAATAAATCATTAAGACACACATGCACGGAGTAACGGGTGAGGGAGAAAGTAGGATTACTGAAATAAGACAGAATATTATATACAATATACAAAGATGAAAGAATCAAGTTTCCTTGTTAAAACAGAGGACATACTAACAGGACTCAATATCAAAAATGGAGTGTTGCTAGTAAGACTTTGGAGTTGCCAAGATGGCCAGTAGGGTAAAGGTGCTTGGCTGACAAACTGTTTACCTGGAACCTATACTGTGGAGAGAACTGACTACTGTCTGACTACTCTGACCTCTACAAGGGCTTTATGGCAGCTACACACACACACACACACACACAAATGGAAAACAATTTACAACTTGGAAGAAGAAACACATTACATACAAAGAGTAAAATTAAGAGAAATATTCCTAAGGGTAAGATGTTTTATGTTCAGTTGTTATCAAGGTTAAACTGGAGGTGACAACTGTACTTTCTGATAAAGAAGTAATTTCTATGGCTGGAGAAATGGCTCTGCAGTTAAGGGTGCTGACTGCAATTCCAGAGGTCCTGAGTTCAATTCCCAGCAACTACATGGTGGCTCACAGTCATCTGTAATGGATGTGATGCCCTCTTCTGGTGTGTCTGAAGAGCTACACTGTACTCATGTACATAAAATAAATCTTAAAAAAAGAAAAAATGAAGTAATTTCTAGCAGGTGGAAATATAGGACTAACACAGTCAGCGTTTAGCTTATGTACATAAGTTTAACAAAAGTAAAATACCTTAAAATTCTATCTTTTAAAGAAATAGTTTTGATTACTACTTATATTTATTTTCAGATACCCTTACAGCCTTTTCTAACTGATTATAAAACACTAGCAGATGCTTGCAAGCATATTTAGTCATAAATAAGGATGTTTATACTTTAACTTAAAAACATTCATGTTCAGCCTTTGAAATTAGAGGCTACTGTCTGAATCTTAGTTTTCTAAATTACTTAAAAAGAATTATATGTAGTTTGCTCAAAACTGTCAACAATCTAGAATAATGCATTTGGTGTAAAAGGTAGCGATTTAATTTTAAGTTACTTTACTTTTCTATCTTAGAAACAGAGCTAGGGATAGCTCAGTGGTTCAAAGCACGTGTTGCTCTGGCAGAGAATTGGAGTTCAGTTTCTAGCACCCACATGATGGCTCACACATATCACTAATTCTAGTTCTAGGGGATCAGACCCCTTCCTCTGGCCCTCACAAGCAATACATGCACATGGTGCATAGACATACATGCAGGTAAAACATTTATATACATAAATCTAAAACTTATAAGAAAAAAGAAACCAAATTATTTGCATTATGATGTATTTCGATTGCTATTATATATTCCAAGAGCGTTTCTTACCAGTTTGGAGCTGCTTTCTGATTTTGGTATTTCGACGGCCTCTTCCTACATTTACCTTCCGTTTTTGTGGAGACTTTTTCATGGGTGGCTTAGGCCGTGATGCAATTCTACCCGGAGACTTCTCTTGCTTCTTTGCCCTTTTAGCATTTGTAGGTACTGAAACATCTTTAGATATAGAAGCTTCTTGTTTTTTTCTTTCTATTCTGGTTTTCTGTACAATTTGTGCAGTCAGCACTTCTGCACCTTACGCAGAAAAGACAAGACAGTTTTAAGTGTATGTGTGTGGGTGACCCAGAAACTTATCAGTATAATCTTTCTCTTTATTTTCTTGCGGGGGGTGGGGGGGAGGTGTAAATAATAATAGGAAATAGATTAGAGAGTTCTGGGATACCATTAAATGGGATACCATTTAAAAAATAAAGTACAAGCCGGGCAGTGGTGGCGCACGCCTTTAATCCCAGCACTTGGGAGGCAGAGGCAGGCGGATTTCTGAGTTCGAGGCCAGCCTGATCTACAGAGTGAGTTCCAGGACAGCCCGGGCTATAAAGAGAAACCCTGTCTCAAAAAAAAAAAAAACCAGAAAAAAAAAAAAAAAAAAAATAAAGTACAAGGCAAGGAAATGACTAATGGTTAAACCACAGGGTCTAACTTAACACTCAGATCTTGGTGGTAGTATATTCTATACACTTCTTTTTTTAGGCATTAACATTTCCAAATTAAAAACAGAAAACCAACCAAAGGTTGGCAAACATTTTCCGTCAAGGAAATCTCTGCCTTAAATTTTCCAACTCTTCTTATAGAGTGCCAGAGCCACAGATGATAGATGTATGTATGAATGGGAACCTTAAGTATATAGTGTGTTGACCCCTTTGCTTAGGAGCGCTCATAAAAAATACTATAGTTCCTTAGTTTTGGAGAAAATATAATAAACATAACTTGAGATGATACTATATAAGTCATATAGTTGGCTTTACTGACTAAAGTGTATCTGTTAATAAATGGTAAAGAAGGAGAGCTGGCATACTAGTCCTGGATTCCCAGCACCTGGATAACAGATAGCTCAAAATGGCTTTGAATTCCATCTCAGAGTCAGGGGTGGAGGTGGGAAGTGTCCAGAGCCTGATGTCATCTTCGGGTTTCTGTGGACACTACTCCCAATTAAATAAGAATTCTAAATAACTTTGAAAATTGATTCTCAATTTTAAGGGATACCAAAGCCACACATGAAGTTCTTTCAGTTTGTTTCTAGGCCACAACATACTCCATTTTAGCAGTTTATACAATTCAGGTGATCCTTTAAAAACTGCTAACACAAGCTGGGAGAGATGGCACAAGTCTTTAATACCAGTGCACAGGAGGCAGAGGCAGCCTGTGTTTGAGGCCAGCCTGTTCTACAAAGAGAGTTCCAGGACAGCAAAACCCTGTCTAAAAGGACAAACAAACAAACAACAACAACAAAACCACAAAAAAACCAAACCAAACCAAACCAAACCAAACCAAACCAAACCAAACCAA